TCTTCTTCGAGTTTCAATCTAAAATTCAGTCAAAACCAAGTCTAATCTTCACCAAAACCCCTCCAAATTGAGATATAAACTCCTAAACATATTCTGAATTATTTACAACAACACCCAATTCAAACAAATAATGATTTTTGAAAATCCAAATTTGAATTCAAAGCTTTCAAGCTTTTTAATGGCTATCAATGGTGGAAAATATATGGAAGAACAGATGAAGATGAAGATGAAGATGAGGATGAAGAACAGAAATCTCCTTTCCGTTTGATTACTAAAGCTTCAGTAGCTTGCGTTTTTTGAGAATTGTAGTTGAGTGAGAGAAGAGAGATCTCTTTCCGTTGAGGAAGGAGAGAATTACGCAGCAATTCGAATTTAATGTTGACAGAATCACACGCAGATCTGGTGCCTTCATTTTAGCGCATTTTTATGGCAAAATCTACCTATTTTTGGATTGGTATATAATTTGTAGTAAAAGTGTGGACTACACGGGTAAATAATAAATTATGAATATTTTTGGTAATAAGGTTTGATATATGGTATAGATAGGTAAAAATCTTTTTTTTCTAATTGCTTCATCGGTTAAGTCGGACACATTACTCTTACCGCAAAAGTCATTCTTACACTAACCTCGATGGTAGCATCTTCGATTCTTTCCATTTTCTCAAGATAATAAGAATGGAATAGCCTATAAATGATGTCAATCATAACGTATTATTCACCATCTTTTTATTAATTCCACAATGACTAAATTGTACTGAGAATGCACGTGGAATTCATGTATTTCTAAATCAAGTTTTTGTGAATATCCAATTAATTCCTTCATATCTTAGTACGTGAATCTCAAATCTATTCACATCCTACTCCTACATTCATTTATCATTCACAAAAACTGTAATGTTAGAAACTAAAAGGGCTGGAACTTTAATTTGAATAAACTAGAGAAAAAAGAAAAGGAAAATCAGAATACAGACGAAATTAAATTACTGTTGATAGAAAAAAATTGAGAATGTGGAGGGTGTCCCTCCTCTTTCATTATTGTGTCGTTTCTGCACCACAGGAAATAAACAACTGTACATAAGTCTTTCCCCCTTTGCGTCTGCTTCCAACTGACACTCCTACATACACACATTGCAATTAACAGTTACATTTGGAAAAAAGAAGAAAGCAAGAAGAAAAGGAAAAGAAAGAACTGAAAGAGCACCAAAAAGTAGTCCCATTAAGTCTTTTTGCTTCAAATCTTGAACTTTTGTTGAATCCCTTTTAAATGCTTTCAAGTAATTTTCTTCTTTTGCTCAATCTATAAGTTAAAAAAGACAGTTTTTAGGGTACTAAAAAATGTCAACTTTTGACACTGCTATCACTGACATAGAGGCAAATGGCAGTGGTGACAATGCTAATCTTCGCCGTCATCACCGCCGTCAACGGCGCCGGCGCCGGATACGGAGACCATCTATGGCAGGGAGCAGCGAGACGACTACTGATGGCAGCTTCCGGTTCTCTGATTCTGATTCCGACCAGTCTTGGCACTCCCCTTTAGGCTCTGTGGCAGGTCGGTCCTACCGTTTCGAGGAATGTGGGTCCTCTATGAGGACTGAGGGCAATTTGGTCAATTGTGAGCAGAGCAAGAGATCAGGGGCTTGTGGTTTAGTGGCTGATGAAGAGATTGATTTGGAGAGTGGTGAATTGGAGTTGAAGGTGCATAATAAAGAAGAGAAAAGTTGTAGAATTTGTCATTTGAGTTTGTTGAAATGTGGTGGCATTGGTGATGATGACCAACTCTTAGAACCCTCTGGAGGAATGGCAATTGAATTGGGCTGTTCTTGCAAAGGTGATTTGGCTGCTGCTCACAAGCACTGTGCTGAAACTTGGTTCAAAATCAAGGGAAACACGTAAGTTCCCCCTAGTTTAATGCCTCTGTATTCCCTTGTTCTAGTTCCGGTTTTTATTAGCTTGTCTTGTATAAGTTAATAACAATGTGATCTTTACGCTGCTTTTTGCCAAATAAAATTTGATGTAGGAAGTATAGTTCTTATGTGTTTTTCATGATTATAGTATGTTTCTATGAATGCAGAAATGCTATAGGCTACTTTTGTCTCATTAGAATTGCGAAATGAATCATGTGGAAGATTAACTTCTACCCTTTGGAATTGCTAGAGTACCCTTTTCTTGATACTCTTTTCTTAGGTGATGTCTGAAGACAATTCTCTCTTCTAGTTTAGAGCTCTTTCCACAGTTAGTTCCTTTGTCCAGGGTGTATTTACAGAATTTCCTATGGCATCATTGTACAACAATGTACAATTTTGAGATGGTCTGTGGCACAGTTTGCCTACTTTAAGGTTAAATTTGGAGTACGTGAAGTAAAGTCATCTAGTGGTTCGGTTGTTCTGTGGTTTACTCCTCTTTGTTTGAGACAACCAAGATTCCGTTTTTGTTTATGTTCTTTGAGGTACTTAGTGATAGATGCACTCAGGTTTCTTACTTTGTTTATTGAGCCTCCAAGGAACATTGTTTTGGCTTTCCTGAGCAGGTTGAAAATTATTGTTCTCCTTGCATGCTGGGTATCAAACATATTGGTTCTTCAAAGCACTAAATTTTGATTGATACTGTGGTATTATCAACTGTGGTACATATTTGTTGAAGGGACAGAAGTTCTCATAATTTATAGTATCTCACTGCTCCTAATTTAGTATCTTCAGACTCCAGCACATCTTAAACTAGATCCTAATCTTTTTGCCTGTGGTTGATAAATGTCATGGAAGACTGGATATAGAAAATAAATGATCTTGAAAAGTATATCCTGCATTCTATGGCCTGGTTTGATTATAAAGCACATATTTACAAGAAAAAACTGATTTGAGCTATTAGTTTTGTCATTTCCTCTTATGCATCATCCAAAAGTGTTGAAGTCTTTGCATGTTCTTTTCACATAAAATGTTTCACCTGTCTCTGCACCTATAGTTCTGTTTTATCGTCATGTTTCATTACCTGCCTTTTGAGCTACATTTGCTTCCGATGAGGTATCTGTGCCGTGTTGCTTATTTTCCATTAAACACATTGGAAAGCCAAGGTCGTTATATGGTTTCATTTAGGAGGGGTGGCATCAATGTATATGCAGTGGCATGTTGGTCAGGAAGGATAGGCGCTGAGGCCAGAGAGTACCTTTTCTGCTATGTCATCTCTCTTCTGAGACTTTAGCTTCGATTTTAGTATGTAGTAATTGGTTTATAAGCCAAATGAAACATCTGCAATCACAAAGCAAAGTGTATGTAGTCCCTCCCTATGTAACTTGACTTATCTTCTTACTATGATCCAGCATTTGTGAAATCTGTGGTGCGACAGCACTGAACGTTACCGGAGGGCAGGCAAATGAAGCCAACAATGCTACAATAACCACCATGGGAGTATCAAATGCACCTGTAGTCCTTTCTGAAACCCGAAGATTCTGGCATGGGCGACGCGTCATAAATTTCCTGCTTGCATGCATGATTTTTGCCTTTGTCGTTTCATGGCTTTTTCACTTCAAAATATTCCCCTGAAGTTTGTTTGAGATCATCCTGGCAGTACTTGTTTTGATTGACATCACTAACAACTCAACCCCGGGGGATTTATGATGTAGAGGTATATTTGGCTGAGGAATTTTCAGCTGTTATTTGAGTTGCGGAGTTATATCCAAGGGTAGGGGTAAGGCTGCGTACATCTCACCCTCCCCAGATCCCAAAATACACAGTCGTTATTGTTGTTGTTGTTGTAGTTATATCCAAGGCAATGGAGGATTTTGATAAATGTCATGTGCTTCTCAAGAGCGTTCCTTCACGATAATTATTTGAGAAAATGACTTGTAACTGGGAATGGAAGATGACAAAGAGGAACAGTGACTTATTTGTTCGTCAAACCCTTCACAAGGAAAGAATTCTTACCAGCTAGGAGCGAACTCCATATCCATGTTGAAATCTCATCTGTATCCATGTTCCAAATTAAGCTGTGGTGATGATGCAGCGTATCTGTTATATTTCAATATTGCACTTTCTGTACAAATATTTCATGGTGCTTACTTGTGTGTTCATGTTTTCCTGTTCCAAGTGTGTTCCAATCAATGAACCTTGCACTGCAAATCGTTTGTGGAGGGTTCTTTTATATTTGATCATACTGTAAAACGATATTGTGGATTTCAGTTGACTTTTGAAAGTTCTGAACTTCTGATCCTTTATATTCTTTATATTCAATTGGTTTCATATTTCCCCCATAAGTGTAATTAGCTTGCCATACCAGGAGTCTAGAAGCACTGGCAAAGCATGTGTTTGGAGAAGCAGTTCTCAAGCAACTGGAACAATATTATGGTGTTTGTTTGAGTTTTGAGAAACTGAGTTTGCACCATACTGAGGTGTTGAGACTTGAGACCATGGAACTAACTTCTAGAATTTCTCGGATTTCATTACAGACTTCTCTATAAGTTTATTACAGTTGTGGAGATGATACTAGTTCAAAAACAAGTTTGATGCTTGCTAGTACAGATTACTCTGTGTTTTAGAGTAGCATATATGTACTTCTTCAAGTTGACATATTGTTGTCTCCGTGCAGCTTGGGCATTGTGAAGTGGATAGAGTTTGTGTCAATGTGTAACTTTGCTGGTACCATAGCATATGTTATAATATCTCACATTGGTTGAGGGTATGCGATGTTGTCTCCTTATATGGTTTTAGGTAATCACCACCTCATAAGTTTGTGATTGAATTAGGTTCAATATACATTTTCTTTTACAGTTTACAGGTTGGATCAGGGAACACTTTAGGCTGTTTACCTATAACTGAGGTGCTGACATTAATATCTTGTAGTGCATAAATCTTGGTTGCAGTTGCAATAGTCACCACAATTACATGGGCAAATGATCAAATTGCCATCCTTCCTTTCGGAGGAGTTAAAAGAAATACTATGATGGTTCCGTTGCTTTATATGTTTAATTTTTCCTTTTTATTTTTTTTTCTCTGAAACTCGTACAATAACTACCAAAGGTAGAGATGCACCAGCTCTCCCAAATAGAAGCAGCAGAATGAGAAATTAATCACACGTGCTCTAATGGATGTTATGAAGAAAACTTGTGTGCTGATATTGATGATTCATGAAAGGTGATATGTACAATGACTTTTTTGTGTAGAAGTTATATTCAACATTTACTGTTTCATTCTTCTGAAATCTAAGGAGGAGCCATCTTTGAGTGTTTCCCGGGCATCTGAGTCCATTCCGAGGGTGAACAGTGCAGCTGCTTGAAGATAGAAAGCAGTTGGCCAATTGGAAAATTGTACTTGTGCTTGCATTGCATCTGCAAGAGCTTCTTGTGGCTTGTCACTCATTAGATAACATAACGAGCGCCTTGCCAGCACAGTTGGGGACTTAACATTTCCACCCTCAAGAAACTGCAGTGCAAACAAAAAGAAGCTGTTTGATCAATACTCAATTTTAGATGGCAGCTATATACACATCAATCCCAAACAAGTCGGGATTGGCTATATTAATCCTCACTGACCGACCATGTAGCTCTATTTAAGCTCATCTTAGACCAATAAGTTCTCTATATTTTCTACTGGGATACAAGACTAAAAGATCCCTAGAAAAGATGGGACCTAAAATAAACGTACTAACATGATCCCTAGCTAATAGGTCATATGACAGTTTTTAAGTTAGAAACAGGAGAGGTGCATGCCTTATGCGTTTCTAAATTACCTCTGTGTAACATTTGATTGCAGTAGTAAAATTTTTATCTCGAAAAGCAGAATCGCCAGACTTCCTAGAGTTGAGGGTTTCTTGTATTTGATTAGCCCACATCTGAAATGAAAGCTGCAAAAGGAAAAAGAGTTTCACCACAGTAATGGCATTCTAATTTGCTAGACATGAGAGAATGACATGTTCACTTTTAGTTTCATTACAGCAAGTTAAACATGGACAAAAAGGAAAACTGCCTTTCCTGACCTCATTAGCGATGCCCTCGTCCTCTTTGTATCCAGCCTTTTCTAAAATATCTTGTATGGCAGTTAAGTCTAATCTCGAACAAGCCTCACCAAGAGGTGTTAAAGGTACTTGGGAGGGTGAGGTGGTTTCACGAGCAATACTCATGAGAACGTGTGATGGAGCCTGCAGAGTCAAATAACATGTCAGTTTTCTCCCATGTAATTAATTACATTACAACATACGAAAGGACTAATTATTATACATACATCTTTTTCTTTCTGAAGAGATGTTAGAGAGGTGAGAAGAGATTTCACATTTGGCCTGTCATGAGGTTCGTGTTGCAAACAACGCGAAGCAAGTTGCACTAACTCACTCCCATCGTCATTTGAGAAGTGACCTTCCAAGCAAGAATCGATAAGCATCAGAAAATTCTTTCCCCGTATGAGGTCAAGTGCCTGCATATCAATTTTGAAACTATTTAGGATTGAGGGAATGATTGAATAAACATAAACAGTGCATGTTTAAGAGAAGTAACTGAAATCGAAGAATAACACACACACACACACATATATATATATAGTTTCGTGAAAATTATAACTTCAAACCAGCTCTAAAACTGAAGAAAACTCAACTCCACGCTACTAACATCTGAGTGTTTATCATCATATATATCCTATTGTGCATAGGAAGCAGTTATCAAGCACAATATCCTTTTCTGTTTTTAAAATTTTGGAACAGGTCAAACAAGCACTTACGTGGCTAGGAGGAATATGCTTCCCGCTAAGAAGATCAAGCAACAGGGCGCCAAAACTGTAAACTACACTCTCTGGGGTCACCTTACCTGCCATTACAATCACGTTAAAACATTGAATCAAATAACTGCATTGAAAAAGATGGATTATCTTCAATTGCTTTGATAAACACATGTTGAGTTTAGTCACTTATACGACTAGTATTAAACTTCTTCATGTTATAAATAGAAACCAGCCAATGCTCACACTCCCTTCTGTCACCAGCAACATGCAACACCCCTTCCCAACTCTTGGGAACCTTTTGTTATCTATCTTCAACTTAGCTTTCCTTGTAATAGATGTCAAAGCAAGGCTGAAGATAGCATCTCCCAGCATCACAAGTTTTTTGTCATTCTCCTTAGGGACTTTCTACACTTTATCTAGATGTAGAATTGTTTGTATATGGAAGACAATCTTCCAACTCAATAACTTGGTAGAATTAGGTTTACATGTGCATTTTTGTATAGTTGACCTAGTACTACTTCACTCTGATTTTGTACACCCAATTGACTATCATAGTTTGATAGTCAATTGGATCACCAGCACAGGTCTAACTCACCACAGCGTTCAGGTTTTACCTAGTCATTATGTATATATGACCAGGTGCCTCTGTACCATATATTGGAGGTCAGGTTTATGTCCCCCTCCGTAACTGTACTTTTATTTAGGATATATNTTTCCTGAGATATATATATAATCCATCTAATTAGTTGTAAGACTAGATTTTAAGTACCGTAAAAATAGAAGACATTAGAAAACTTAACTATTTCACCTTAATATTGTAATACCCCAATATTTTAAATAAGGACATATTGGATATTTAGTAAAAAAAAATTAAGTCCAAAGGAAAGAAGAAGAAGAAGGAACTAACTAATAAAAAAAAAAAAAAAAAAAAAAAAAAAAGGAGGAAAGAGAGATTTCTATTTCATTATGAGAGCTATTTGACAATGACCAAAATTTAAGTTGTTTCACAATTTTGGTGGTGACTTTCAAACATATTGATATAGAGCCCTTGAATTCCAAGGAACCTAGAATTTAACAGGTGACACTTAAAAACTTGATAGCAGCTGAGATACCTGTCTTTAAATACTCCGGCGGAGTGAAGGCCAAGTTTGTACTATAACTCTTGCCATCCCTACTGTTTTTCATTAAGCCAAAACATGATAGCCTTGGATCACAATCCTGTCATGTGCTGACTCGTAGTAAGAACAATGAAGTACAGAAGATAGCTTGAACATTTAACGGAGCACAGATATACATGTAGGGTAAAGATTAAAAGAAAATTTACTTGATCGAACAAAACTCTGTAAGAGTTTAGGTCATGATATAGTTCTCTCCCTTTACTACTGCAGTAGTCTAATGCTTGTGCTAAATACAAAGCAACTCTCAACCTCATCGCCCATTTCAATGGTTGGTTATCCCCTAAATCAATTGAACCAACATAAACTACAGTTTGGTAAATATATCTAAGGAAAATCTTGTTATAGAATGATACTGCGAGTTTTAAGCCCCATTACTAAGGGGTTGGATTAGACAAAAAAACTAGTTTACAGAGAAATTGCTTAAGTTGTACATGTCAACATGACTCCAGAAAAACGAAATGAGCAAAACTTACAATGGAATAAATGCTTGGATAATGTTTCATGAGGCATAAATTCAGCCACTAGTAATCTCTCATCTCCTTCACAGCAACACCCTAACAAGTTAGCCAACCGCTTACTCCTTAGCTGCCCCACTGCTTTCGCTTCATCCTTAACAATGAATAGGCAATTTCCAAAAATAATATGATACACATCACATTCTTGTTGTTGAAGACATAATTACGTAAATAAAAGCGTATCCTTTCTAACAGCTTAAACTTTTAGATGAGTTGGTTCCACATTTCAATATGGTATAGGACAGAAAAAGATTACTACAGGTTCAAGTCTCACACTTACCTTTATCAAAAAGGACTTTCACGTGATTGGCTTACGAAAAAAGAATCAGCCCGGCAGGTAAGGGACATGTTGAAGACATAATTAAGTAAATTAAACTGTACCCCTCTAACAGCTTGAGATGGTTACATAATTTAGCATTATTTACCCAAAGCCATAACATGACCAAACAATTACCCAAATGCTTTACAACTTGAATGAAACAAGATACGAAAAGAGAATTAATACTGACTAGGAATTGGCGAGAATCAGGCCATGCAGACGAGTGGAAGCGCTTGATAGCAATCCAACGGCCATTACCATCAAGCTGACCTTTAAACACAACGTTAGGGGCTTTCTCTCCATGTTCTGAAACTATATTATTAACGGAGAAAGTTGAGGTGGCAGCCTTCAGCTCCTCCAAACCATATTCTCTAAAAGCTGGCAAATTCAGCTGCTCATTCTCCGCCCATTTTTCTGAATCACACAAACAATGCCAACAACAAAATTAAGATTGATTCTTCAAAGTCCCACATTATCAAAAGAAAGAAAAAACTTACCGATATCAGATGTATACAGAACATGGGACTTGATGTTTGAAGGCCATAAACAGAAACACAAATTGGAACAACGTGCACCCATTGTATAAATTTTTCAAGAATTCAGATATATTAAATTTAAGAGAAAAAAAAAAGACCTTTAGAGAGATAAAGGGGTCACAAATATGTGTAATCGGTGACAACTTTTCTCCTCTAAAAGTCCCTTTTCTCACCTATAACAAACGAATATGGGAAAATTTTGGGAGAAAAAAAAAAGGAAGAAGAGAGATTATAATGGTGTGTTTCAAAAGACAATATTCAAATAAATGCTCTTAAAATGTGAGCAAGCGAATAAGAGAAATGCAATGCAAGGGGCGTTAATGGTGTTTCTTTTTTGCTACTGGGAACAGAGAGGCTCTGTCATTCTTAGCAATGATCAAGAATCTAAACTGCTACAGCCTACATTATATTTATTTATCCCAAAGGAAAGAGGAGAGGGAGTTTTCTGTTTATTTCGGTTGGGACAGGGGAGAGGAGAAGAAGCAGAGAAACATGGAAGAAACAAAAGACCGTTTTTTGACCCCAAGAGCTACCTTTTCTATTCTTTCGGAATAAATTAACGTTGTCGCTCTTATCCCTTTGAGAACACTTTCTTTATCCATATACGATCAAACAAAAATACTCCTCCCGTTTCAAGTTACGTGAATTCATTTGACTAGGCACAAAATTTAAGAAAAGAGAAAAGAATTTTAAATTTGTGGCGTAAAATGAGACACATATATTTTGTGCGGTAATAAATCATGGCATAAGGATAAATTGTTTCCAAATAAGAAAATGTGTCATTCTTTTTGGCACGAACTAAAAAGGAAATAAGTTCACATAAATTGAAACAGATTGAGTATTTATTAGTATCTAATATTTATGTGTGATGACCGGATAGGTCATTTTTAGCTTTAGCCTTCATTTATGTGTTCTGAGACCTTGAATAGCTTCGTTTATCCTTTCTCGATTTGCGTGCACAGTCCGCATTTTTTTCTGAAAATTTTTTATGTAAAAAAATTGAAGAAAATGTGAATTTTAACCTTAAAAATTATTTGAGTTGACTATGGTCAATATTTTGTGTAAATGAACACAGATCAATGTTTTGACAGTCCTAGTGGGTCCGTGTCGTAATTCGGGACTTGGGCGTATGCACAAAATCAAATTCGGAAGTCTCTAACTCGATTTAACGTGATTTGTTAAAAATTAGTAATTTGAAGGTTTAAATAATTCCTAAGTTTGACCGTGGGCTGACTTTATTGCTACCGGGTTCGGATTTCGGTTCCGGAACTTGGTATAGGTCCATTATTTATGGCTTGTCTGTAAAATTTAGTGTAAAACGGGATTGATTTGACGTGATTCAGACGTCCAATTGTAAATTTCCATGTTCTTGAGTTTCTTTGAAAATTTCATTAATTTTGATGTTCGATTCGTAGTTCTAGGTGTTATTTTAGTGTTTTGATCGCGCGAGGAAGTTTGTATGATATTATTACACTTGTATGGATGTTTGGTTTGGAGCCCGAGGGGCTCGAGTGAGTTTCGGATAAGCTAAATAGTGATTTTTGAACTTAGAAGAATGCTGGTGCACTGCTATTTCTAGTGCTGGATTGCATATCTCGCATTTGCGAGGTCTGGCTCGCAAATACGAGCCTCGCAATTGCGAACAAGGCTTCGCATTTGCGAGCATGGGCTAGAGGGGGGAGTCTCGCATTTGTGAGAGAAAAGATCGCATTTGCGAATGAGCAACTGCCGCTTTTGCGAAGGCAGAGTCGCATTTGCGAAGGATTGGTTCGCAATTGCGAAGGCTGGGGTTTCGCATTTGCGAACCAAAATGTCGCCTTTGCGATGACTGATTTTTTGAGAAGGGTTCGCATTTGCGACCTCTTTCTCGCATTTGCGATCTATGCAATTGCAAGCAAGATATCGCAATTGCAACATCCACAACTGGGTAAAAGAAGGGAAAACGAGACTTAGCTCATTTCTCACATTTTCTCAATTCTAAACACCCTAGAGACGATTTTGCAAGAGATTTTTCTTCCTAAATTCATTGGTAAATGAGTTTAATCTATTTCTCTTCAAGTACCCATTACATTTCATGAGATTTCAACATCAAATTTAGGAATTTCAGGGTAAAAATTAAGGATTTGGGTAGAATTAGGTATTTTTGTAAAATTGAGATTTAGACCTCGAATTGAGGTCGGATTTCGAAATAAATTACATAATCGAGCTCGAGGGTGAATGAGTAATCGGATTTTGGTCCGAATCTTGGTTTTGACCAAGCAGGCCCAGAGTTGACTTTTGTTGACTTCTTAAAAAAAAACCTAAGTTGAACCTCTTTCATTCGTGGGTAGTTTCTAAAGCTTATTTTGAATCATTTGGTCAATAATTTGCTAGATTTGGTTTGTTGAAAGGCTTGTTCAAAAGGTAAGACCGTGGTAGAGCTTTGAGTTTGTTACAACCCATGTTTTTGTACTTGAAAGTACGTCGTGAGTCAATTGATGTAAGCTCAAAAAGGATGAAATCCTTCTACAAGGATAAGAAAGGTTTGTCGAAGTGTTAAGCAAGTTAAGATGAATATGAGACTTGTTAATCATGATTTAAATGAGTTTAAAGCCATGATATGACTATATATGATGTTTGGATATGAAGTATAAAGTTTGAGAAAATCGGATTTAAGTTGCGGAAAAACCGACTAAGGATTTGTCTTGTAATAGAGCTTTTTGAGTAATAAATTTCGTGTACTATATGAGATTTTTTTGGGACATATTATATACCAAATTGAATGTCTTGGAATGTAGTTTTCAACGTTATTAACCATTCGTTCATACGATATCTGGATAAAAAAATATAAGTGTTTGAAAAAGGGCCAATGAGATGGTGCCAAGTAGCACCTTTTGACTTTTCAACCAAAATGAATATTTATCTTCCTATCTCGTCTCTTTCTTCATAATTCCAGAGAGCTCGAACAAATAAGACCCCTAAACTCACCCTTAAGCTGTCCACAAGGTTATCCAACAAGATTATCGTCCAAGGCACGAAATCACGAAGCAATAACACTAGAATGATCCCTACGACGTAAGTATCACTATATTACCTCTCTTTTTCTTTGTAGTTTGAGTTTTGGAAGGTATTTAATAGTTAAGAAAATGCTTTATTTCTGTATTTAAGCTTTGAAATATGAAGGAAGGTTGATAAATTCATTTCCTAATAGCTAGAACTCACGGGATGGTGATCGGAAGCCGTGAGTTCGAATTATTCGACTTGTTGTGGGCTGTTTCGTGTTGCTTTTGGGTTGTATATTTTGCTGCTATTTAATGGAGTTTTTGGAGGAGAAATGGTGGATTAGTCATTCTTTGTAACATTTTCGACGTGTTTGACACTACTATAGTTGTCGTTTTGGGTATGAAGTGATTGGGGTGTATTGGGCTATTGTAAGCTAAATGTAACATGGATTTCAACTTGAATCAACTGTAGGAGGTAATTATATTGTGTTCTTGATTCTTCTTAAGATTATCTTGACATTGATTAAGTTAAACGGATGGACTAGACATGAACTAGTGAATAAAGTTGCTAATTAAGAATAATTGGAGTTGTGGATCATTTTCTTTGTTATGGATATATGGTATGAGGCTGGAATTATTGACGAATGACTTCATTATGATGTTAATGATACTATTAAGTTAAAGTAAAAAGTCTATAAGGGATGATATGGGGTATACGAATTCCAATTGAAGCTTGTCGCTCGTCGTAAAATAGTTATGACTTGTTGTTATTTTATGGTGTCTTGTTATTGATAATTATGTATTGTTGGATTTCTCTGGTAATTGTTGTTGGTATATGGCATTGGAGGAGGCTCTTGTTACAGGGGAGATGCTGCCCGGATTTATATAAACGAGCTACAAGTTTAAGTTGCAGACTTAGCCTTTATTCAACACTGATTTAGAATCTCCTTATGCAATGGTAGATTGAGTTGAGTTGTTTGAAGAGTTTCTAGGGAGGTATTAAGGACTCACCATGGTTAAGGTATGCTAAGGCACTTTCTTCTTTCTTTTGGCATGATCTAAATTGAAATGAACATAAACGATACACTATTTCATAATGAATCTACTCCTAGCAACTAAGGTTGTACATGTTGTTATTTCCGTACAAAGTTATTCTAAGAAAGTATGTATGATCCTTGAGTCCTAGTGAAGTTCATATTGATGATATGATGTCCATAATGCTAATCGAAGGTGAAACGACCTTACGTCACTCCGAAAGGTTTAGAACGTGATTCCATGAGTCGAGCATGCATTATATATATGTATCTATTTTGCTCTACCGAGCTGCGCTATAGTCGGCCGGGTACGACACCTATTGTGCAACCACTGATCAGTTGGGTTTACCGAGCTCCATGTGGCCGGGTATGATTCTACTGAGCCTTATGATGGCAGAGTACATTTTTACCGAGTCCTCTTTGAGGCCGGGTGCGATATGATGATGATGATGCCCACAGAGGCATATGTTTTTAAAAAAGTTTATGTATATATGTATTATGCATTTCATGTAAGTAGCCCCCAGAGGCACTCAAATGTTGCAGGTTGTATTTTCTCTATCTCTCTTTACATTACTGTTCTTATTTATGTTTTCCTACCTTACATACTCGGTACTTTATCCGTACTGACGTCCATTTTTGCCTGGAGACGCTGCGTTTCATGCCCGCAGGTCCCAATTGATAGGTTGACATTTCTCCTGGTAGGATATCAGCTCAGCGGAGGTGTTGGTGCACTCCACTTGCTCCGGAGTTGCCTATTTGGTCAGCATGCTTTGGATATGTATTGATTGGTATGGCGGGCCCCTGTCCCGACCTTTATGATTTTATGTACCCTTAGAGGTTTGTAGACAGATGTCAGGTTTATGGATACTTGTATGGCCTTGTTGGCCTATGTGTTGAGTTTACAAATGGTCATGTCGGCCTTATAGGCCCGTATGTCACATGTATAAGTTTGTATATCATGTTGGGTCGTCATATGTCGAGTATTCCCTTATGTTTCATTCTTGTTATATCATGACGGTTTTTCCGGCCCGTTTACCCATGATGGTATGATAAGAAAGATATGTTACGTTGGTACTCGGTTGAGTAAGTCACCGGGTGCCCGTCGCGGCCCTCCGATTCGGCTCGTGACAGAGTTGATTGCGGAATGAGGTAAGTGTTGGGTCTAACCTTGATTTCAGGGAATTAGGAACCCTCGAACTTTATGTGATGTGAATTTTGTGTATAACGGCGTATATGCGACGTGACGAGTGTATATACGTCGTCAAAATAATTGTTTCCATGCTTTCTCATAATTCATGAATTATCTTATTCCATATATTAACTGTTACATGTTCTAAATTCCTTTCTATGCCGTAACTTGTTACTTGTCATTAATTATTTTTGTATTGAAATATCTGTTCCTTCCATGACTCCATAATTAATTGCTACCTGCCTTAATTGCACTGCTACATACTTAGCCTGTTTTGTTGCTCTGGTATTAATTGTAGCTTCCCTTTGATTAGTACGTGGTTCTTTCAATGTTTTGCTTTCATATTCTAAGCAAAAAGAATTAAGTTCTTTTAACTACGTGTGTTTTGCTATGAATTTTAGAACAGAGGATGGTAAATTGTCCAACTACCTAAAACATTTGTGGGTAGGATGTGGTAAAGAAAAAAAATTAATGGTATATAGTTTTTACAGCAAATAAAAGAACAAATGACATGTATTTTACGTACACCTTTATAACTAAACCATTCATACACTCCTATTTAACCGTAATTAATTAATGTGGTCTAAGTATAAACATCCCTTGTTGCCTTTGGATGCTATAACTAAGGCTATCAAGAAGTAGTGGAATATTGAAAAATCTTCTGTATATTCATATGCTGATACACCTTAGTAATACTTATTCCTCTACACTTGCAACACCAAATTACAATTGCTTCATTCAGTCATGAGCCTTATTCAACTTCATGGCAATTCACTTTATCAATCATTGACTGATATTTAATCTGTTCATCGTTACTTTTTACAAGCTTAGCTATAGTTAAAACAAAAACTGTAGAGCCTTTGGTTTGATGTTTCACCATGCTTGATAAAGCAAGTCACTTACACCTTTCCAGCAGGGGAAAGAGAAGGAATTGAGACAAATTTGGCAGATAATTCCACTTGGGCTCCCTCTGAATCTGGCAACATGATTACTTCAGAAGAAATTTTCAGCAATCAAGTTTGCATTCGGAAGAGTTCTTGATTTCTACCATTTAAAACTGCTATACAAATGGAGAATGCTTGAAGAAGCTTCAATGATGAACTGAATTCAACAGAAAAGATCCCATCCTTGAACGGAGATAAGCTAAAAATGGGCTTACTGTCCCGTGCTTCTCCCTGCCAAACAAGAACAAAAAGATTTCACAATGGTGTATTAGACATTGGAAAATTACTGTAAAAATTGATAATCTATATTTATGTAGATCATAACCTGGGATAAAAGTTCAAATCTTGCAGCATTAAGTTTGGGTTTGGAACAACTGGATATCCTTTGATGATTAGTGTGATTCACAAGTAGTCTTAATTTGCAGCCCAAATCCCAGCCACCACAATCACACGATCCACCTGACTTCCATCGGTTAATCAGTGAAGAAGGCTCGCCTTTACTTGGTACGCTATGTGCACCACCAGGAAGGATAACTGTCATGTTAAGATCTTCAAAAGGATTTGTTAAACCTGAAGTTGAAATATTATTGCAGTTGCTATTCTGATGGTCACTTCCATTAGGACAAGTGGTGATCCTATTGGGTAATTTGACAACAATAGCTGCAAGCTCATCGTTTGCCTCAAGGTCAGATGGTTTCTGATCTGTAGCAAACAAAACGAACTCCCTCTTCCTAAACTGTGAGTCAAGTTTCTGCCTGTTCAATTCGGAGAATGGAACATCAGAAACCTTCATCTTTCCAACGATATTAGGCATAATTCCATGACTTCTGTCTTTTTCTACTTCATTTAACCAATTTCCACTCTTTTTCTTTGTTTCACGAACGGTGAAGAAAGTATAAATCCAGCAACTGTAATCCTTCAAATTCGGATTAAGTTTCTTCATTGTGGCTGCTAAAATGTCAACTTCATTGTCAACTGCAAATGTGAATAGAGGAAGACCATTTTTCACAGCTACTTGGAGGAGAGCTTGCAATCTTGATGGCACAAATGTGCCATTAGAACGTGGATTGTCGATATCAATTGTTTTACAGCCCTTTAAATCCAATTTCACTTTCAATGAGCGTTTCGTAGGAGATTCACCACGTCTTGTTGAAGATTTAACGTGATCAGAGTTGCCTGTCTTTGGCTTCAGCAGTGGATCTAGCAACCTTCTCAAAGGACTAGTCCTGGCTCGGCCAGTGGTGTCTGATTTATCACAGCCTGTATCAAGTGAGGACGAACTTTGAGTTTTATTTGGACTAGATTGTTCTGCAGGCCATTTGACACCTTGTGATCCAGTGATCATATCTTTTATACCTGAAATCTGGCCAATCCTTCCCATTGCCAAGCTAAATCGACGAGTTGGAGAGGAATTTCTGACTTTTGTAGATTCTGCGGAATTAAGTGTAGTTGGATTGTTAAGCATTGCAGTTGATTTCTTCTCTTGTTTGGAATTGGTTCCAGGTGGGCTGGACAATTTTTTTCCTGAATATGCTGAAGGCTGAATTGTCTTAGATGAAGGGCAACTATCCTTTGCATCTATTGGACTCACTTGTCCCATCTTCGACTCATCAGCATCATGAGGAAGGGTGCTGGAACTAGAGATATCTGAAGAGGACTGTCCATGGTAGAACGCAGAAATAAATCCACAAGAAAAGCTCCGTCTGCTTGATTTCACAGCGCTCTGGTCTCTCACTACTGAATCAGGTGGGCAGAAAGTTGTGCAGCTGTTAGTTTCTTGGCCAGGTTCTGGTACTTGAAGGAAATCTGATTTATGTTTCTCTATGCAATCAAAATCATCAAAATCTCCTTTCGATAAACATTCTCTATCTTGGATCTTCATCTTTCCCTTGGAACGTGATGTTTTCGTCTCAGTCTCTCCATCAAGTGATCTCCTAACATGAGGAGTCCTCCGCGGGTGTAGAGCATTGCCGAGTTCTTGCATATTTCTTTGTGGATACTCATCAAAATACTGATATGTCTTGCCGACAAGTTGCTCAATCTCCCGGGATTTAACTACGCCAGGTTTTCGGTTTTGCAACTGTACATAACTTCCTGCAAAGAATTTGACATCAAGACTGTTAAGAAATTGGAACTTGAGCATAACTCAACCCCAAAAGCTAGCTCATGAGATGAGGATTGTCCAAACTCATTAAGGAAAGGAGACAACAACCCATTCCCTTAATCAATGTGAGACAATCTAACAAAGACAACTACCTCTAGGTGGTGATGAATAATAAGATTGTGATGTAGGACGATGAATCCTCCGACGAGCAGGAGAGCAGCTTCTGGCTCTGCTAGAATTGGATGAAGATCCCTCCATTGAGGAAATTGACAAGGTATTGCTGGTGGATGGTGAGCAACCCCTAGTTCTACAAGGTTCTTTTACATGTTCGTGTCGCCATTTTTCAAGAAAATGCCAATCTAGGACGCCAACACTGAAAGCTTTCTCCTGTAGATTTCCCCCCTTTTCCAGGTAACTAGGCAAACTTGACATGTATTTGACAAGCTCTTTATTCTCAATTGTCTTTCTTTCACCACTCTGCTTTGGCCGTCTTTCCATTGGCTACACCTTGCATGAATTCTCTAGCCTCTAGCAGAGGTTAAAAAACAATGAGATTATTAACATTTTTAGCCCCTTCTGATGAAAATTTGTTGCAGTAGATTATAGTAAACTCAGAATTGTTTAGTAAAAAGCCAGAAAAAATTACACATGCTGAGTTTAAAAGATAGGTAAGACAAGTCTTACGACATAATAGATGGTGAAATGTTTTTCAAATCTAAAGCGATATCTAGAAGACGAAAACACTGCATGAACAGGAGGAGGAAGAAGTGAAAACCGAAAGCGGTAAAAACAATGTAAAATTGTTGTTCGTCAATATTTGTTTAACTGTAAGGATAATCACATTAGAGTTCCAGATTGCCTGAGTTTCCAGTAGTTTATCATATGCAAAAAACATGCAGTGTTCCCCTTTATAGACTTGTTTCGGTAATAAGAATTACTCCATTAGATGTCAGTAGCCAGGAATTAGGTGTTATACAATGAACATAGCACTTACTTTTCCTCTCTTTTCAAACATAAAAAGCTGAAATATATGGACATAAAAGTTAATTCATGAACTATTTGTCGTTGGTATCTCTTAACACGGGCTGTCTTTCATATCTGGGTGCAGGGGAATATTAGAAAATGGGAAAGTGATGTTATTTTTTTTTTTTTTGCATTCCTTCATTGCTTATTGTAATTTGGCCAATTATGAATACATGATCCAGACAGCTAAACAAAATCAGAAAGCTCAACACACTATCTTTACAAGCAGGACCCATTTGATTGGAGTACTTTATTCCTTTAACTTTTACCTATTTCCATCACACACTTTCGAACTACAGTAACATTTTTATTTCGTTGGTATAAAGGCAAGGGGATTCGATGGGTGTGCTTCATCGATAAGAGTATTACTTTTACCCGGTGACATTTTTGAAAGATTTGAGTGACATTCCTTTTACCTGATGGATGTGTTTCAACAAACATTTTGGAGTTTGATCGCTAGTCTAATTAATATAGATTGCAAATTTGCTATTGTAGTTTTATATTCAAATTAAAAAAGATGTAAAAGGAAAATGATTTAGTTCACTGATAGTCTGTAATAAACTTTTTCTATAAAAGATATTACTTGCCATATATTTTTAAGTTATTAATTCTACCTTTTATAGGTACTTCTTAGGGATTCAAATAGTAATATGCATTACTACTACTAGTGAGATTTTATTTTTACATAAGTATGCTTCAACATATTATAATAGGTTAGTTACCATTTTTATTACGTAATCAATTAGTGTTTATCATAAGATTTACTAGTCTTACCACATAAGTGATCTGATAACATTACAACGTTAGTTCATAGTATAATTCTAAACTCGTTTGTTAGTGTGTTTTACTCGAAAGAAAAACTGAAAAAGATAGAAAAAGAAGGTCGGCGGTTGGGTTTGCTTTGCCATAAACAACCCCCTTCTTCACCCTTCCTCTTGTCTTTTGCAATGGTGTTGAGACCCAAAAATTAATGCAACAATATTTCCAATTACGACATACCAAGATATGCAATTATTGTTATTTTTATCATGCATCAGCATCATGAATGAGAGATTGCAGAAATTATGGTATTAAAAGTGAGCTGATCACAAGACAAGAATTAACGGAAAAGCCCCCAACCTCTTCTCTCTCCAAAAAAAAAAACAGACGCTGTCCAGGCGAGGGCGGAACTAGTTCTTCGGTTATCCGTCCGACCAAACCCAATGTTTTTATCTTAAAAAAATGTACAAATTATTAATTTAGAACTCATTACTAGAATTCTAAACTCATAAGCTTCAAATGCAGCCTCTGTTTGCCGGCAGTCGACCAAAATGATCAGAGTAGTGAGAGAATCTACGATTTTTCATGGTCTTTCAATATGCAGCACATAAAACCAGTAGAATATAGAGTATATTTAAGAAGAAGAAGAAGAAGAGAAGAGTACATACCTAACTGAACTCAACAACCGCGAAAGTAGGGAAGTGGAGGTGTAAATAAGTGTCGGCGGTGAAACCAAGATGAGTAGGAGTAACTAAAAAAGCTGAGGAACGAATTGCAGTGAGAGCAGAGGAGCTTAATTCAGAGAAAGCAAGGACACCATAGACGACCTGTGGCCTCCTCTCTGTAATAGCAAATTATTAAACACCTTTAATTTCTAGATAATTATTTATTCACTCCCCTAACATAAAGAGTAAGGCAGAGAGGAAATTAAAGAGCAACACAACATAAAATAGTAAGGGTGAACTTTTGGCTGGAGCTGCATACCTTTTTGCTTTCTGGAGGGAGAGGAGGAATACTACGTAGCGTAGCGTAGGTGGGTCACGGGTAATTGGTAATGACGCTCTTTTGGACTCCACATACTTAATGACTGCTTATTTTATTTATTGGGATGCTGCAAATCTTGAAGCGACTTCATTCCCATTTATTGTTTTCCATTTGAATTTTGTATTTTTATGTCAAAATCATCTAATTTTTTTTTTTGTTATACTCCATCCATTGAACTTATTTTTTTAGTCCGTGAAAAAAGAATAATTTATTTTAATGCAATAATTTATAGTCACACAATATATATGTGTCTCGTTAAGTTCAAAAGTCTTCTTTTCAAATAGGTTTACGTAAATTAAAACGAAGGAGCTATAAAATATTCGCTACAAAAATACATAACATCATGAATATATAGAAATATTCTTTGATATCCTTTTCTAGTCCTGGTAGAATATTAGAAATAGAAACTGAAACCCCACCTCAACCAACCCCCTTTCAGAAAGGCCAAATGCCACCTCTGCCAGCCTAGTTTGCCAACAAACGGATTAGGGAAAATAGAAAACGTAAAAGTGGGAATTAATGTAGAATTAACAATGGGTGGACTGGGCTTTAAGCATAAGTTGATTGTCTGATTGTCTGAATTGTTAGAGTAAAGTAAAGAGTAGCACCCCAATTGCTTTTAATGTCAGATTTGTCCCACACTATCTATAATAATTTTCGGTGAATAAAGAGATAAAGCATTTCAAAGTTATTCAAAAAAAAATTCATAGTAATATTGTTACGTTTCAGAAAAAAATTCCTGTTTCGAAATATTTCTTTTTCAGTACGTCTCAAATCTCAATGCTATTTTAAAAAGACTAAAAATTTTCCTTTCTTTCTAAAACTGTTCAAATAAGCACCACTTATACTTAATTTTGATTAAAGCAACCTGCAATTTCACGTGTCATTCATGGTGAAACAGTTTATTGCTACGATTATCAACAGGCCGCAATTTGCCAATTTGTTTCTTCCGTGTTCTGATTATATAATCAACGAACCTAATCTTAAAGTAAACAAGGTTAATCATGCAGATTGCGTTAATACACACTTGGTCAACGAATACATGATTGAAGATATAATGAAAAGGTTTTGCACAATACATTGTTGTAAGTGATATTTTTTTGTCCGATTAGATCAGAGCACTGAATCTCACAGGATTTGCTGTAATCTGCTTCTCAAATTTACCTCCTCCATCCCAGCCTCTAATTCGGTGTTAATTTTTTGTGCTTTTAGCCTGTTAGGCAATTGCTTGATGACTAGTGTGATCATTTTCCATCCCCTATAATTATGTCCATTGCGTTTGGGGGGTACTATTATTATAGTCTCATCCACAAGAATGAGTCCATGGCTCATTCCATCTATATCTCAATTATATTGGGGCATTTGTATCTATACCCGCTTTTTGGGTTATGTCTTAATTTGTGCCCGCTTTGTAAAAAAAATTACAAGCGTATCCACTTTTTCGCGTAACTTCAGTATACGAGGCTTAAGTAGCAAAGACAATCACGCAAAACTTCAGCATTCTAGTAGACGGGACTGAAGTAGCAGGTGTGTTGAACAAAGTGTGCTGAAGTTTTTGTTTTTGTAACTGGCGAAGTTTTTGTTTTTGTAACTGGCGAACTTCAGCTCTAGAGCTGAAGTTTTTGTTTTGTAACTGGCGACTTCAGCTCTAGAGCTGAAATTTTTGTTTGTAACTGGCGAATTTCAGCTCTAGAGCTGAAGTTTTTGTTTTGTAACTGGCAAACTTCAGCTCTAGAGCTGAAGTTTTTGTTTGTAACTGGCGAACTTCAGCTCTAGAGCTGAAGTTTTGTTTGTAACTGGCGAGCTTCAGCTCTAGAGTCTTCTTCCCTTCATAATGATGCTGTCACGTAAACATAAAAATAGCTGCTTTACTGTCACATAAAGCATTCAATAGCAATGATACTTCATCTTATAACTCTCTAATTGGACCAATTATTTAGATGATTAGTTCAACAACTAAACCATCCAAAGGAACTGTTTGTTTAACCAAAAAATGAATTTTTAGTCAAAGCTAGAATTTAGAAGAACACGGGTTATTGATAATCAAAAGAATGTATAAAAGGAAGTAATTTAAGTAGCAAGAGAGTAATCCAGAGAAAAACAACTAAACCAAAGTTTTATATCAATAGCATTTCGTGTCCTTACAATTGATCAGATGTCTCCCTTTTATAGATATCTTGGAGATATACGTTTTGTCCAAAACATAATGAGGCTATTATGAGTAATTAAAGACATTTAATGCTACGTTGCATAATCATTATATTCAATACAAATTCTCTAACGTATTCCACATTTAATGCCTATTAAATGCCATATCTACACTCTTTTCTAACGTCAGATTCATTCCTTTTGTTCTCGGACATAAATGACTTAAATAGGTACGATGCTGGGTTATTTGTATTCCTGCCTATGCCTCTTCCTCTGCTATTTGCTCGTATCTGTTGCAACTCGTGCCTCTTGGCTAGTTGTAATTCTTTGACCATTTGACCAGTCTACGTGTTTCGACACGTATTCGTCACGTCACCTTTATATTTAAATACAATTTTTTCCAATACAGATAGTCCCCCCACTTTCCATTTATTCATCAATTGAATATTTGGGAAGTGGATTTCATTAAAAGAGAATTTTTGTCACCATTAATGCTATGACAACATTGACACTTCAATTGTCGCTTCCATTTAATGCTCCGTACACGTGGATTTTTTCATTAGTTCTGCAGTTTTGTAGCCCTTTTTCAAGGCTTTTTACGGCTCCACTATTCACGAAGTTCCAGTTATCATTATTATGGTCCTTCCATCACTGCACTTTTACCTTTGGCGGTGGCATATTAATATAAATATAACTTCTCTCCTTGTCTTTTACCACATAAAGCTTATTGAACACTTATTTCCTCACATTCTTCTTCTTCGCCATGTCTTCACCAAATCCTAACCCTAGGAGAGTTCCCATTGTTGATACCTTCCCTAATGGCCCCATTAGACATAGAAGGGGAGGTAGACTTCGTAGCTTAGGGCCTACTCGCGGTGGTAGTTCGTCTATACCTTCACCTAGTTCTGGTCCTTCTTTCAGAACCAGATGTTCCCTTTCTCATAGATCTTCTTCTAGGGATAAAGAACCTTTTGAACCATTACGTGAACCTTTAGTAAAGGAAATAGTCCCTACAGAATTATCTTTTTACCATGATAGGGAATCTCTTAGAAATCAGGTTTCCGCCTTAGATCGTGCTGACGCTTACCCCACTCAAATTACAGAAGTTTTAACTCCTGTAGTTCGCAAAGACTGCCATTGGAGTAATGATTTTCCCATTATTATCCCTAATCCAAATAAGAGAATTACTTCTTACTTGACTGAGTTCTCGTTTGTTTATACATACCCTTTCACTTTAGGGTTCAAACCAGCTATTGACCTAGTTATTCTTGAATTTTGTCGTTTCTTTAATGTCTGTTTGGGTCAAATTGGCCCAATCATATGGAGGGATGTTGCCTGTTTGAGGCATCTAACCAATTTGGCTGACGTTTCCTTTACTTTCCCTCACCTGATTCATCTTTACTCCCCTAGACTTTTCCGTAATGGCGTTTTACCCTAGTGGCCAGGAGTAAGAGGCTTTTAGTGAGCCCTGAAGATGACAAAGACCGTGGCTGGCACGCTGATTTGTTGCTTCCCCCACTGTTGGTTTAGTGGGTGAGAATAACGTTCCCTTCCCTGAGAAGTGGAATTTTGCACGTAAGTCTTTTATCCATCTCGTACCTTTTTCCTTCAAGTTTATCAACTTATCTAATTTTTGCTCCTCCTTTTTTTAGCAACCATGGGAGTGGTGGAAAATATTCCCAATTTTTGTGGTTAGGTAGATAAATTGCTGAAGGCCGCACCAATAGATGGTAGGTCTTGGAAAACACTTTCTAAACGTTACGGTTGGAAAGTAAAGACTCATGGTAAGAGTTTTTATTTCATATTTCACGCATGTATATATTTTTCTTTATGGTTCTAACTTCCATCCTTCTCTTTATCAGGATTTGCTATTCGAGGAGTTACTGCTGAAGCAGTTGCGGCCTTTCGTCTCTTCGGGAACCCGTATCTCTTTAGAAAGAGCCCGAGAAATAATCTTGGGATCTTCTTCTGCAAAAAGGAAAACTGTTGAAGAAGGATACTCTGAAGAAGAGGAAGATGAGGGTTCCTTGGTGACGAGGCCACGAGCTAGGAGACGCATCGTCTCTAATGATGAAGTTAAAGTTTCCCCTCGTCTTTCTGTTCCTCTTACCGAACCTGTTGAAACCCCAGTAGTAATTCCTGACAATGAGGTCACTCCCCATGATACCCATGAATCTATTGATCAACTTTTCTTTAGTGGTTTTGGCAGTGGAAGTTTAGGGCCTGTTTTAGATGAAATACCATTATCTTCTTTCTCAACTTCTGTGCCTATGATTCCTTCCTTACCAGCCCCAGTTGTTTCTGTTCATTCTTCTACTGTTTTCACTTCCTCTACCGCTCCTCCTTCAACAACTCCCCCTCCTATTGTTCACCATACGGAAGCAGGCTCTTCAAGTAGAAGTGCCGTTATGAGGAGGGTAACCATTGAAGTTCCTGCTGATAGCAGCCTTTTGAGGAAGTCAGGTCAGGCAGACGTATGGCTGGAACCTTTAATCGGTCCAATTGAAAAAGCAAAGCTGGAGAGCCATAGTTTCCTGACTCTAATGAATGATATCGTGCATGCCACTTTGAAGGTACTTTCCTTCTCTCCCTTCTTTACCTTATAAAAAAAATTATCTTTGGGATTCTTATATTCTTATTTCCTTTCCTTTTTTAGGCCAATCTTATCGGCACAGAAATGATGAGCAGAATCCCTCTCTTGGAGAAGGTAGCACGTGATTCTCAATTGGAGGCGATCAATTGGAAGGAACAATTTGAGAGTGCACAAATTGATATGGAAGATTTACAAGAAGGCAAGAGTACCCTAGAACAGCAGGTGCGGGATTTAACTTCAGAGTTAGCGGTTGCAAAGGCTTCCTCAAGCCAAGAAGAAAAAGACAAAAAAC